GTTGTGCTTGAAGTTGACCACCCCCTCAATTAGTCATCAGCTATAGAACGTTTGTAACAGTCTAGCTTTTACGTTATTTATCTCTTTCTATGAATGAACTTTTCATAAAGTCTCTATCCCAACTTTTTGATCAAAAAAAGACATACATGTGAACTAGAACAATTATTACTGGCTAAGCACACAAAAAAAAGTATCTAACACCGCTGCTTGCATATTATCAGAACGTACCTTGGTGGTTTCCTGAAGATAGTGGGGAACCAGTTCTCTCATTACTGGTAGAGAAATATCAGACCGCGAGCTACATTAATAATCAACGAAATTATCAACAACGAGAAAATTTTGACGAAACCAAGGCATACACTTCTCCCAGCTCGTTTGAGAAGAGTATACAGTCTAATCTAGTGGTTCCGATAGCTTTGACACCAATTATATACTGCATGCTCCAGTTTCATTTTGGTTTGTAAACTAGCAATTTCGTGCATTTAAAGAGAGCCTTCTTTCAGTAGTACATAAAAGAATGGTAGGCCAATATCATATACATACTGGATATAGGTAGATAACGGAAGTGATGCATATCCAACAACTACCTGAGAAGAAAAGATAATCAGTAACTAGAGGCCGGATCCATTGAAGAGAAACAAAGCATATAACTCTTATGTAAATCTTACTGGTCTTGGGGCCTCAAGCTTTGTCTGGAGATCAACATGGAAAAAAGTGAATAATAGATGGTGTGATGGCGTCCATGTGGCAGGAAGAGACACCTTAATTTCATCATGGTAACTAGCAGCTCTAGCTCCAACAGCAACCTGTGTATGAGTCCACTTCTGCAGTGAAACACCAGGCTCTCTTGGATAGATTGCCTACGCAAATCAACAGTCAGAAACAAATGAGGACTCAGAGAAAAATGCTGATCATTTCTAGGACTATTGATGATCAAAATAATTACCTCCAGAGGTTGTCTGCGGACATCTGCATCATCCTTTCTCAATTCTACACGGATAAAGAGATTCCTCTTCCGACTCAAAGTAACAGCTACAGGATACACATAAAGGCAATGGAAGAGATGTAGAAAAGGCTCGTTTCTTGTCGTAGAGCAAAAATCAAAAGCCTGGAACCAGAAAATGATAATCTGATCAGTTTGCGGGTGAATTATACCAAGGACCAGAGACAGTTTTCGAACTCTATACTACAGTTAGAAAATAGAATGATATTTGTTTTAATTCTATCCTCTTTAAACCGAAATCTTATATGAAGAGAGTCCCTAATTCCTCGGGAGAAGTTAAGAAAAAAGTAGTTAACAAACCCGACCAGGATCTAACTAGCTCCAAAGTAGAATGAGGGCCAAGGATGGCTATCACGAGGACAAAACAGGTTGATGAAAAAGAAGAAGACACAATTTAAGCCTCAGATCAAGGAATCAGTAGAAAGAATAATAAAGCTGATACACTTACATAATAACAATTCAAGTCAAGATTTCCACTTGAACTTGTTAGGTTTCTCGAAACATCCTTTGCATCCTCTAAATTCCACTTTGAACAGCTACGGGGTCCACCGGAACCAGAACTAGGACAATTCATAAGTGTCAGGTCACCAAGGCGGTCAGATGGATCAAGAGAATCATTTATGATGCTTCCATTCTCAGATATATCCTCAAAGTCTCCAGGTCCACTTCGATGTTTCTCAATTTCCAGTCTTAGAACCCCTTTAACGGGTTTATGAACCTTCCGTTTAGGGTCCTATAAAGCCAAAGAATAAACTATTAAACAGTCGTAAATTAGGAAATGTGTTTGTCCAAATGATCAAGACGGTCTATAGGGAATTTAGATATGTTTATCCTTCAATTGAAAGCAACAATATGCAGTCTGATGTTCATAAAAAGCATGCCAGACATATGACTCACGACGTTACCAAACACAATCCGGAAATGAGAGTTTTATGTGGGTAAAAGAAAATCTGGTTTCCTTGTGATATATTTAGTAAATATACTCATAAATAACTACACTTCACAAAGAAGAAAGGAGCGAGGAAGTCCACGTCCCAAAACTCATGAATTAAACACTATGACCTGATGGTCAAATGCTACCAAATTGATTCATTCGTGTAGAAACACGGGAAAAAAATCTATTTAAATGTAGAAAAAGCTGTTGTCAATCGATTTTGTATAAAACTCTAATTGCTTTGCATACATGTTCAATTCATGAACGACCAACCAAAGTGTACCTAGCAAGTATCCGACATAATAGGATTATAGGATGTTCAAATGGAACGGAATCTAGGAAATTAACATGAACACTAATTTACACCAATTCAAAGCATGTAAAAACAGTTATGAGGAAGATGGTAAAACTACGGCTTAAAACCCGCATTGGCTGTGAAAATTAAACCTCTCTCTTACCTGAATTGACTCCTCAGAGTAGCTCTCTTTAACTTTGTTGAAATTAGATATTTCAACTATGACAGAACTTCCACCTGAATAACCTTGCTTTCCATCTGATGTGATCTTCGCAATGGGTTCAAAAGCACCATCATGGGAACTTGACGCAGTCATACTGGGAGTAAGAGGACTGCTAGGAGAAGCAGCTTCACCAGTGTTTGTGGTGATGTTATTATCAAAAAGCGGAACAACCGCCCAGGCAAAAGACTCTCGGTAAGGCATAATGCGGGACCAGACCTGCAACTTTTGCTTCTCCCTCTCAGTTAAGTGCACCTGATTAGCAAATGGCCAGAGAACTGAGTTACTACAACCAGGTTACTTACTATCACCAGGACTAGTCCAAAATATATAATCAAAACACAGACAGCTGACATGTGCCATTGTCAGTCAGAGGCTATCTCCAAGTCACTCCAAAGAGAAATGTTGAGAGACACAATCTCTAAGACCAAGGCATTCACATGAACAAGGGACACTAGAGACAGTAAGGGAAAATATAGGATTTCGGCAATTACAGGCTCTTTACGGGAGTAAACAGAAGTTGTAACGCCTCCCTCCTCTGTTGCTGTTTTTTCTAATTGAATCAGCAAGCAAACTGATGCTGATGGGGCATCTAGATAAAATATTCCACGATTTTCAGATGAAACTTTAGCCTGCAAGAAAAGGTATAAGGGGCAGCAACTTGGTGAGACTGGAGTGAGAAAGAAAAAAAAAAAAACTCAAAATATTCCACGCTGCTCAGTGACTTACATCCTGCATTTCAGTAGGCAAAATGTGGAAATAAAAATCCTCAGAGAGTTTCTCCTTCCTCTCTTGATTGTACAATGAAATTGAGCCAAAGAATGGTTCTGCAGGGATGCAAGAGAAAGGAGGAGCGAGAAGGAACTTAAAAGAGGTTGAAGTAATGAAAAGAAGAGGTAGCATATCTTCAAGAGTTAGTGAGAGTGAGAATCCTCACCTACTAAGCCAGAGAGAAAAGATAGAGACAAAACTCTAACGGAGATCTTCAATCCACTGTGGATAAATTGAGGGGA